CGACTGAGCCACCCAGGCGCCCAAACAATTTTTTTTAAAAAATTTGACTCTGGTTGGTTAAACTTTACCATCTTAACTATTTTTATGGCTCAGTGGCGTTTGAGTTTCTCAGTTTGGGACAACCATCACCACCATCCATCTCCAGAACTCTTCATCTTGCAAAACCGAAACTCTGTGCCCATTAAATAATAGCCCTCCACCCCCCCATCCCCACATCTGTGTGTTGGAGTTCTTTTTCCTTGTCTCTGCAAAGACCTATCTTGTTGGGAACCCAGAGAGCCGAATCCCTGGGATTTTGGGGGGCGGGAGGAGGACCAAGGGGCACAGACCTCATGACAGCCTCTGGATTTGGGAGAGCGGTTGTGGGAGCCCTTTTTTTTTTCTTTTAATTTTATTTTATTATGTTACGTTAGTCACCATATATTACATCATTAGTTTTTGATGTAGTGATCCACGATCCATTGTTTTCGAACAACACCCAGTGCTCCATGCAGAACGTGCCCTCCTTAATACCCATCACCAGGCTAACCCATCCCCCCACGCCCCTCCCCTCTAGAACTCTGTCTGTTTCTCAGAGTCCATAGTCTCTCATGGTTCATCTCTCCCTCCGATTTCTGTGGGAGCCCTTATTCCCTTCCTTCTTTCTGGAGATGGCTGGGTTCCAGGAAGGAGCTGGAGATTTGTAATGGCTCTTTTTTTTTTTTTTTTTTTTTTTAGATTTTATTTATTTATTTGACAGAGAGAGACACAGCGAGAGAGGGAACACAAGCAGGGGGAGTGGGAGAGGGAGAAGCAGGCTTCCTGTGGAGCAGGGAGTCCGATGTGGGGCTCGAACCCAGGACCCGGGGATCATGACCTGAGCCGAAGGCAGACACTTAACGACTGAGCCACCCGGGCGCCCCGGTTTGTAATGGCTCTTTGACCCCCACCCCTTCCTTACCATATTTCCCTGTGAACACTGATGCTGCATTTGGTAGCATGCTCCCTCCCGCCCCCCTTCATGCTGACCCGCACCTATAGGAGAAGAAGATGTACATGGGTGCAACAGGTACCTTCGGCCTCACCCTGAAATGCACGGAAGACATTCATTCTTTTCCGAGGGAGCCCGTGTATAGGATGGAGACTGAGCCAGCGGTCTGGAGGCTCTCCCCAGGCCTGTGTTTGCCAGGCCATGTGTGTTGAGGGTCGCTTCCAGGCCTCATCTCTCCGGATGGAGCCTGGCTCATTCCAAGGCTCCTTGCCTGATGAAAGAAAGGGCAAGTTGCCCCCCCCCCCCGCGGTTTCTAGAAGGGGCCATTCCATGTTGAAGCACAATTCAGCAACCAGACTTCGTCTTCCATAGTCCCGTGGGTTGCTTGGATATAGGAGGGTATATATGAAGAGTCTAAGACAAAGGCCTGTTCACAAAATGCTCAAAGTCTGAGCTTTCAGCCCAGTTACTCCAGACAAAAATCCAGGCATTAGACTTGACTCCTCTCTCTCTGTCACCCCCATTGTTCCTGTGATGGTCCTTCCAATGTAGATCCCGAACTTTTCCTCGTGTCTCCACCTGTAAACCTGCTCCCCTCATCTAGAACTTCCGTATCTCCTGCACAGCCTCCTGAGGAGCCTTCCCCCCTGGTCTCCTTGCTTCCCGTGGTCCACGCTCCACGCTGCAGCCCTGGTGATTTTCATGAACTCTCATCACATCACTCCTCTGCTTAAAACCCTAGAATTGCTTCTGGGATGGTTGGATTAAAATCCAAACTACGGGGCGCCTGGGTGGCTCAGTTGGTTAAGCAGCTGCCTTCGGCTCAGGTCATGATCCCAGGGTCCTGGGATCGAGCCCCGCATCGGGCTCCCTGCTCAGTGAAGAGCCTGTTTCTCCCTCTCTCTCTGCCTGCTTCTCTGCCTACTTGTGCTCTCCATCTCTCTGTCAAATAAATAAATAAATAAAATCTTAAAAAAAAAAATCCAAACGACGCCCTTTGACCTGTATGGTTTGGCTCCTGCCTCCCTCTTGGATCTCTGGGTGTACTGGTCTTGCCTTCCTTCATCGAAGGGCAGCTTGTGCACTAATCTTCCTCCTCCTGGAAGGAAGAGTCTTCTCCTACAGGTCCCTGTGGCTCCTTTGGGTTAGTCGGGTCCCACACTGACCCTTAAGCTCTTTGGTAAGGCCCTCCTGGACCATCCGGGGGCTCTCTGGCACATCATGCTGTTTTATTTTTCCTGCATAATATTATAATGCATTGTTTCATTTGTTTGCTGGGTTTTAGTAGTTATTGGAATGGGAGTGTCCCAGGAGCACAGGGACCAGAACAGTGCCTGGCTCTAAGTAACTGCTCATTAGCTACGCACTGAACGAATGAATGGGAGTTGGGGCTGGACTCCTAAGGGTGGGCTGTCTTCCAGCATGAGGGAATGAAATGGATAAAGGTGTGAAGCCAGGAGTAAGCACAGTTTGTCCTGGGAGTGGCCGGCTCAGCTCCAGCGGAGGACGAGTTGGGTCCTAGTGGGAAAGGAGGTTGGGGACACACAGGCTGGGTCTCAATTGTGGAATGTCCCGAAGGAAAGACAAAAGAATCAGAACTCCATCCTGCAGGCTAACAGGAAGCCATTGAAGACCTATGAGGGGAGGAGTGGCCTAATTAAAACTGTATCTTGAGAAAATTAATCCAGAGCCTGCTTAGAGCCAGCTGTATAATTTGCAGGACCCAGTGCACAACCAAGATGTGGGATCCCTTGTTCAAAAAGCAAGGGAAAACGGCTAGTCACGGCACCGAAAAAGAAAATGTTTTCCTTTTCTTCTGGCGTTCCTTCCTCAAATTCTCATGGGACTTTTTGCTATTTAACGTTGTTTGAAATAAAGAAAAACTACCATTTTTCTACCTTCAGCTTTCTGATGAGCACAGAAGGACTGAAAGGAAAAGGAATTATGGGCAACTCAGCACTCCCCTTCCTTCCATGTCATCCTTGCTAGCAGAAATGGTTGGCTCAGTCAGGACGTAGCTTGCACGACAGAGAAAGGGTAGAATAAGACACCTCAATCACCCATGTCTTCTAGAACACCACTGCCTTCTTTCTGTGTTCCAAGCAAGGTCCGCTTCGAACATAAAGTGTGGCCTCTCAGTGATCAGCACCCCGAGTGGTTCAGGTGTATGCATAACATACTTACCTCGTCCCGGCTTTGAATCTCGCTGAGCTCCCGTGTGTGGTGGGTCTGTGCCCAGGGAGCCTCACGAATGGCATGTTACCTGCATCTCCTCTGCTCACACGCACACTCCATTGTCCCATTGGACTTCACTTGCAAATTACAAGTTCAAAGATAAAATTATGAAGACTTACAAGAGAGTGACAGCAGAGCACTAAACCAAGCGCAAGGCTATTCTGAGCACCAGCCTTGTTTGAGCAGATCCCAAGTTCATGAAGCTAGGCTCAGGGGGAGGTGGGGGAGAGCATTCCAGGGGGAGGTTGACAGCCGGAATAGGCATTGTTGAGGACTAGAGCCAAGGATATTGGGTGATAGTTGAAAGGGGAAGAAACACTTCTCCAAGGGAAAGTGACAAGATTTGAAGAGAGATGAAAAGTAACAGATAATGATTCTTAAGTCGAGGTCTCTAGAGGCTCTCGTACCCCCCCTACTAGTCTGTGGGTCTCTTGAGCCCCAGGAGAACCGTGACTTTGCCTCCCCAGGGCTAGAGTTGCATAAGGTCTCTTGTAGGTACTCAATAAATGTTTGTCGATCCAAATGGGCAAATGGGGAAGGGGGAGTTCAGATATGGGGATGCGGGTGGGGACACACAACACCTGAGCACACCTGGGTCCAGGGCTGGGGTCTCAGGGCAATGCTAGGGCCCGGGAATGGGAATGTGGTGTCGGGAAGGGCTTCGCCCAGAGGGTGGGTGGGGACATGGGGAAGCTTCTAGGCTTGGAGAGGACCAGGGGCTGTGGAACTTGTGAAGGAGGTATGGGGGTGCTGGGTGGATGGTAGCTGCTCCCCAAGGGGGATTTCCGTCCTGTGGTGACCCTCTGTCCATCTCTGTGTGGCCTGGTCTAGCCCTAGTGCCTACTGTTTGTCCTGGTCTCTGGCGCTTTCACTATTCCTCTCACATTTGGCCCTGTCCGTCTCCGGATCTTAGTCTCCAACGGCCGGCCTGGGGCCCCTTCTCAGCACAGAACGGCTTCCCTCTCCAGCTCTACGTCTCTCCGGGGTTATCTTTCCCTCTACTCCGCCCCGACACGCCCTCCAGCCCCTCCATCCACCTGATTCCGTCCAGTACCTGGGGTGGGGGGAGGGGAGAGACCTCCGGGTGCTGAAGAGGCGGCAGGGGGGCGGACCCAATCCCTCTCTCCATATTTGCATATGTATGAGGTCGCCCGGGCCAGCGGCGAGGAGGCGGGGCTTCTGGGGGTGGGAAGGGGGCGGACACCCCCCCCCCCCCCCCCCCCCAGCCGCCGAGTATAAAGACTGCGCGCCGCGACCGCCGGCCCCGCACTGCTGAGGAGCGGAGCCTCCGCCTGGGGGACCCCCATCCCTGGCTGTCCCCCAATTGCGCGTCCCTGCCCCACCCCCGCGGCCGAGCCACCACTGGTGTGGCGGTCTCCGCTTGGCGGAAGAGCCTTGAGCGGTCACCCGGCCCCTCTCCACAGCCTCTTTGCATCTCGGATTTCGGGGCAGCCCCCTCCCCCACCCCTCCCTGGCCTCCTTGCACCCCTATTTTTTCTGCGTTTCGCTCCGGTTTTGCAGCCGTCTATTTTTGCATCCCTTTTCATTTTGTTTCTAGAAGGTTTGGGGGGTGAGGCTGCACTGCACCCCTTCCCCTTTCTAACCTCCCCTGCTCTGACAGTCCCCCTTTTCATCGTAGCTGGGGGGCCTAGGATTCGTGCATCCTACGCCGCGCTGCCAGTACCCCGCAGCGCGTGGCCGTGCGCCCCGGAATTTGCAGCCGCTGCCTAGCTGAGGAGGGTCTCCCTCGCCCCCGCTGCCTTTGCTCCCCGCGCGTTCCGGAGCGTGGGGGGGGGGGGCTTCTGCGCGCCGCACCCCAGCTTCTCCGCAGCCCCCCGCCCCGCGCGGGACTCGTCCCCCGCTGCCAAGATGGTCATCCAGAAGGAGAAGAAGAGCTGCGGGCAGGTGGTTGAGGAGTGGAAGGAGTTCGTGTGGAACCCGAGGACGCACCAGTTCATGGGCCGCACCGGCACCAGTTGGGGTACGCAGGGCGGGCCGCGCGAGGGGCGGGGCGGGGGTCCGCCGGGCGACGCCGGGGTGGTGGGGCACCGGGTCCCGCCGGCTCGGCCCCAGCTTCCTTCCCGGGTCCCCGGCGTCCGGCCCCCCTGCCGGGCTCTGGCCTGGGAGGGGGCCGAATCGCCGGTCTAATCTCCCCGGCCGGCCGCTGCGGAGGCGGAGAAAGTAGGTCACCGCCGCCTTCCCGCCCCCCGCGGAGCCCCCTCGCGCGGGGGGTCGCGGGCCGTGCGCGCGTGGCCGCGCCGTGGCGCTCGCGCTCCCTCTCGGGGCAGGTCCGCTCCGCACGGTCGCCCCCCGCCTTCCCCAGAAGAGCGCCCCTTCCCTCCCTCCGGCTCTCACTAGCTAGCCAAGCCCGTCTATTTTTAGCTCGTGCCCATCCCCTGGACCCTGGGAACATTCATGAGGGGGCGGGTCTTGGAAGGGTGGGGGTGTGTGTGTGGGGGGGTTCTTCACAGCGGAAGTTGTCAGTATCCCACTGCTGAGCGTTTGGAGCTTTCTGTGGCTGCTTTGTGGGTGGGGGGCGGGTGGGGAGGGGTGGCCCTGGGAGGTTTTGGAGGTTGGATGTTCGGCTCAGATGTCTCAGGCGGAGGGAGGAGTAGATGCTAGCGGTGGTGAGACGCGTACATCATCCGGCAGAGCGTGCCTATGGGGTTGGGGTGCCTTGGGACCTCCCCAACCCATAGCGGGACTCGAGGTGTGTGGAGGGAGTTGTCTCTAGTCGGGGGGTCTGGTGCTGGGCTTGAGTGCAGGTGAGGGGTGGCAATCTTCCAGAAGGGATTGTGAAGCAGGGAAGTCAAAGCATGGGGGACCCTGTGTGACACAGTTTGCAATTCATCCATGCTGATTGCACACTATTCCTATCAGCACCCCCCACCAGGGGCTCTGGAGGTGGGTCCAGTGCAGTCCTTGCCTTGGGTGGGGGGCACTGGAAGTCCAGCCCCTGGGATTGGAGGGGTCCCTGACTGCTTGGGGAAATCTGGAGAAGCGTCATGGGGAATGTGTCTTCTGAGATGGAAGGACTAGGGGTCCTGGGTGGTGGCAACAGCAGACACAGTAGGCTGAGGAGTGACGGAGTTCCGTGTCCATCCAGCAAGCACCTGCTCTCTGTCTGGAAGACTCTGGGATGGTCCACCTTTACTCTCCACCTCTGCCTTGGGAGCTGTGTGTGAATTGGGGGTGGGGTGACTGTTGAAGGTTCTGGACAGCTCTGAGAGATGTCCTCGGTAGACAGGATTCGCGTGCAAGGTCTGACTTGGGTGGGGTGCCGGGGGAGAGAAGGCTTTGCTGTTTGAGTGTGAGGGTCCGTAGTCTGAGAGATGGGGTGAGAGTTTAGTTGTGAATGGCGGCGGTGTACAAAGTCCTTTTTCTGGATGGACAGCTTAAAGCACGAGCACCAAAGCAGCAATCACAGATGTGGTGCCTTTTCAGGGCCATGAACGGTCGAGAAGTTGGGAACATAATTTGATGCAAAATGACTGTGGCCTATACTTGGGGTTGTCCCAGCAACGAGAATTTAGGTCTCTTGTGGCCTCCGCAAGGTTGGGCTTCAACGTGCCTTAGGACCGGAGGGGGCTGGGAGCCATGGCTGGAAGCCAGACGCAACTGCCTGTTTCCAGCTTGTCTCCTTTGGCTCCCAAGGGAAGGCTCTAAGATGTCCCCAAGACTCTGTGACCCGTCCCCGTGCTGAACCTCAGAGTGGGAGACGGGTGTGTGGGGATGGGCAAGGTCGTCCCGGGAGCCTTGGAACCTGCTGACCTCATTTCCTCCTCCCTAGCCTTTATCCTCCTTTTCTACCTCGTGTTCTATGGCTTCCTCACGGCTTTGTTCACCCTCACCATGTGGGTCATGCTGCAGACTGTCTCTGACCATACCCCCAAGTACCAGGACCGACTGGCCACACCGGGTGAGTGATGCACGCTCCCCACCCGCCATGAACTGGCCCTGTGCCCCCCAAGCCTCCAAAAACAAGAACTTACAAGCCCAAGAAGAACTCACAGTTCCCAGAGCCTTGGTTCTGGTGGCCCAATTGCCACGGGCAAGGGAGTGCTCCAAGTCCGCCTTTCTTCCCGTTTCCTGCGGCGGAGAGCTTTGTGACCTGGGGAGGCGCTGTCTATTCCCCGGGAGGTCTTCCTCCTGGGAAGACGATCTCACACCTTCACCCCATCCGTCCATCACCCTGCTGCTCCCCTATGTCCATCTTCTTCCCTCTGTGTGTGGTCCCTCTCTATTCTCCCCTCCTGCCTTTGTCGGCTGTAGGCTTGATGATTCGCCCCAAGACGGAGAATCTTGATGTCATTGTCAACGTCAGTGACACTGAGAGCTGGGACCAGCACGTTCAGAAGCTCAACAAGTTCTTGGAGCGTGAGTGTGGCTGTGCGGGAGCTCGGGCAGGGGACTGGGGGACCCAGGAGGCAGAACAGCGGGCCCATGACCCTCTCTCTCCCACCTCCTTAGCTTACAACGATTCCATCCAAGCCCAAAAGAATGACGTGTGCCGCCCTGGGCGCTACTATGAACAGCCGGATAATGGCGTTCTCAACTACCCGAAGCGTGCCTGCCAGTTCAACCGAACCCAGCTGGGCAACTGCTCTGGCATCGGGGACCCGACCCACTACGGGTACAGCACTGGGCAGCCCTGTGTCTTCATCAAGATGAACCGGGTACGTGTGACTGTGGTCACCGGGGAGGACCAAGGAGGAGGGGGCCGGGGCCACCCTCTGCTGGCAGACGCTCTCTTGCACTGGGGCTACTGGATGCTGGAGAGATTTTTGGATGTTTGAGTGGCTGGGAGAACAGGAGAGACGGGGCCGTCGGAGGCTGGGGTGTGTGGAGGGAAGACTGGATACTTGTGTCTTTATAGTCTCCTCTCTCTGGCTCATCCCTCTCTCCTCCCTCCAGGTCATCAACTTCTACGCCGGAGCCAATCAGAGCATGAATGTTACCTGTGTGGGGAAGGTGAGTTTGTCGGGCCTTGCCCACCTGCCCACCTGCGTGCCCTTCGTGGTTTCCACCTAATTCACTGATCTCTCCGTCTTCTTTGTTCTCAGAGGCCCCTTCACTATAGGGACAAGGGGGTAAGAGTGGGTGCCACTGCGGCTCGAATTCCCAAGGGGCCCCCACCCCTCTTGCTTCTCTCTAGGATGCAGGAGCTCGCTCTTGTGTGGATAGACACCCACCTCCCTGACTCCACCCAAGCCTTGGCCCCTGGCTTCTATCCCTAATCCTTCCACTTTCTCGTCTAGTCCCTGTTGACCATGACTTCCGCTCTCGCTCCCGCAGCTCACCTGTTCCTTCCTCAGTTCTTTCCAGGTGTCTGGTAGTTAGCCCCACCCGCCGCCACTCAGTGTCCCTGGACCCCACCTCTGTCCTCTCTAGAAACTTTCTGTCCCTCTTCGCTCACACCGCTCCCCCCTCCCCTGCCTCCTGAGCCCTTACTCATTTATCTGTTCTCTCTCTCTCGGATCTGCTCCAGAAACCGATTCCTGAGACGGGGGTAAGAACTCGGTGTGGGAGTGTAGTGCACGGCTTTCAGTCTCATTAGCGCCCTTCAGGACTTCCAAGTCTGATGGAGGAGACAGGCAAACACACACACATACAGGCTCACAGCCCAGGGGAAACTGATCTGAGACAGAAATTATTTGGGGGCGAAGGAAGAACAGAGGGACGTCTGGAGAGCTCTCGGGTTCCTCGCGCCCCAACATGCTCTCCCCCACCCTTCTGCGCCCCCACAGAGAGATGAAGATGCTGAGAATCTCGGCAGCTTTGTCATGTTCCCCGCCAACGGCAACATCGACCTCATGTACTTCCCCTACTATGGCAAAAAGTTCCACGTAAGTCCCGGTGGGAGGCCCGGACTGGCGGCTCCCCAAGGGGAGCAGGGTCCTTGGGGAGGAGGCTGAGTTGCCACGGGCCTGCACCTTTGCTCTCCTCCTCTGGCCCAGGTGAACTACACGCAGCCCCTGGTGGCTGTGAAGTTCCTGAACGTGACCCCCAACGTGGAGGTGAACGTGGAATGCCGGATCAACGCCGCCAACATCGCCACGGATGACGAGCGAGACAAATTCGCCGGCCGCGTGGCCTTCAAACTCCGCATCAACAAAACCTGAGGCCCCTTCCTCCTGCCCCCACCTCTTTCCTATGGATGCTTCTGGAATGTCCCTGACCCTGCCTGATCCCTCCCTCACCCACCCCAAAGGTATTTTTTATAACAGAGCTATGACTTGTTGGAGCCTCACGCCCTTTTTCTTTACTTGTGAACCCAGCCTGACAGCCATTTGTGATTCCCAGCCCTCAGTTTCCCCCCCCCCCCCCCCCGCTTCCTCTCCCGATTCTAGCTGATTCTAGCTCGGTCAGAGGCAGGGAGACAGGATCCCGGGACGGCCCCAGGGGAGTTAGCTGTTCTGGTTCGGGTTTAGCTGTGAGTGGGGTGTCTCCACCCCTCCTCTCCCCAGAGAGCTGTAGAAAATGCCTGCCCGCTCATCCACCTCCTCACACACACACACACACACACACACACACACACACAATCTCGGTTCACCTACACAGTCCCTGTCTTGGTGGCTTTTGACGCATCCGGCTTCTCCTCCGGCCTGTCGCCACCCCCTCTGCACCCCCCATTCCCTCCTCTGAAAGACAACTGTTTGTAATCGAGGACGAGGTGGCTCTGTGGCCTTTTCCCTGTTTTCTGGCACATTTGTCTTCTCACCCTCTGGTGACGGCGTGCGCTGGGAACCAGGGTCTGGAAGAGGAGTCCCCGTTGGTTCTTGAAAATTCTCTTCCTGTCAATAGGCACTCCTCGGAGGGATGGGGTTGACCTAGGCTGAATGTCCACTTTGTTTTTGCCGATGGTTCACTTCTCCCTGTTTGTTTTCCCAGAATATCCTTCAAGTTCCACTCTTCCCCAGAGCCCTGGGGGAGGGGCAGCCATTTTGGCTGGGTCCCCAGTGGCCACCTTGGAAACGTCAGCTGGCTCTGGGACTATTCACCTCCTTTCCCCCCTGGGCCCAGAGCTACCCCCACTGTCCTCTCTCTGGTTTCTCTTAGCATGTTATCAACTAATCACTAACTCCTTCCCTCTCCGCATGTCAGCCTGAACGTTGCAAACAGCCCCTCAGTCTAGGCTCTGAATGTCTCGGCACCCCCCCGTCTCCTTCAGACCCCTTGGCGTTTTTAAACGACCCCATAGTGTCCATAGAATGCTCCGTGAGGGGCCTCTGGTATTCTTGAGCGATAGTGCCCTTCATTTCTGCCCTCTCTAACTGTCCATCTCTTTTCTGACACTGCAGCCCCCACACCCCACCTTCCGATGGACCCTTCCCTCCTTCCCTCTCGCTGGTCTGAGGTCTCTTCCCTTCGGGTCCCCATGTTGTCCTGCATTGTCCTCGCCCCGGTGGTCTTTCTCTGCAGTTATTTAATGCCTGTGTCAGATCTACTGTAAAAAGAGGATAAAGTACAATAAAATGAGAGCAATTATATATATAAATATATATCATACACGGAGCCCTGCGTGCGGGTGGTTCCTTGCCGAGCGTTTGGAAGGGCTCTGGGAAAGGGAGTGGGGGGGGTGATGGGTGTGGGTGATTCGGGGCTTGCCCAGGCCTCCTTCCCAGCTCCGACCTCTCCGTCCCGTGTCCAAGCAACTAGATCACTCCTTCACCTGTATGGTCTTTGCGATCACACAGTGCAAGAGAGGCAGGAAGCCTACACCCCTCTGTACAGTGACGACACTTAGGATGTGCCTACTGTGTGCGTTCTAGGCACCGTGAGGACACACTTATGAGAGAGGCAGAGTTCCTCCTCCCAAGGAGCTCCCCAGTTTAACGGGAGAGGTGAGGAGCACACGAAACACTCTCCTACCAGGTAGACCTACACAAATGTGCTTCCAGGAATGGGAGAAAGCTGAAAGCCGGCGAGGACAAAATCCAGAGTGGTCATCTACTTTCTCTCGGGGGCTTCCAAAGGCGGGTTTCCTAGAGGCTTAAAGGATGGGTGCGTCCACTTAACAATGTTTACTGTGCCATACAGGGATGGGTCTGGAGCCCATTTTTATTTTTCCTGGGGTTTGTTTTTGTTGGTTCGTTGACAACGAGTTAGTCTTAGTATTTGCCACGAAAAATACCTTTAGTACACAGGCATGGGATATACACAATTTTATCACGAATGCGTTGTACACACTAGGATCACTGGGTTTGGTCACTGTTGTGCCGAAATTGCATCATATTATATACTTTTGTGCATTCCACTTTCTTCACTCAATAAATTTCTTGTGCCACTATTTCACCTGGTAGAGCTCTAATATGTGTTTTTTTTTTTTTTTTTTTTTTTTAGATGGCTGTGTCATATTTTTCCTGTTGGGTTGTTCTTACTGATTTGTTCAAGCTCCTTGACAGCTGTAGATATAAACTGTTTTCTGCATTGCAAAAATCTACCCCCCCAAGCGATTGTTTGCCTCTCCCTTAAAAGGTGTTCCCTCTTCAGATGGTCCAACTTGCTTAGCTGTTTTGCAGTTCCTGGGTTTCCAGTCACTAAAGTTTATTCATATTTTCTAGGTTTTTCGGTGGGGTGGGCAGGATTTTCATTTCATTTAAACATCTACATTCACTTTAATCCCTCTGATTTTTGTTTCTTCTTGTGTGGTGTAAATGGGAGTCCAATTTTATTTTATTTTTCTAGTTTTGTCAGTTCCACTTTACTTTTCAAAAATCAAGGGCTCCTGGCTGGCTCAGTTGGTATAGCACGCGGCTCTTGATCTCGTGGTGGTGAGCTTGAGCCCTAGGTTGGGCGTAGTTTACTTAATAAAAGAAAGATTTTTTTAAAAATCTGTAATTTATTCCCATTGAGGTGAAATGCCAACTTTGGCCATATAATAAAGATCCTGTGTGCCAAGATTTGCTTTCAGATTTGGTACTTACTGCCCCTGGCTTGTCTACGACTCCACACACCAAGCCATGTTGATTTTATTCTAATAGTTTTAGTGTTTTTTGATATCTAGCAAGGAGAGTAGGTTTCCCTCCACTGCTTTTTTTTTTTTTAATTTTAGCAATCTACCCCGCAACGTGGGGTTCAAATTCATGACCCCGAGATCAAGAGTCGCATGTCCTTCGGACAGAGCCAGCCAGGTATCCCTCCCCCCTTTAAAAAATTATCTATTTACTTTTTTAAGATTCTAATCTCTACACCCAACATGGGGCTTGAACTCACGACCCGGAGAGATCAAGTGTTGCATGCTCTACCAACTGAGCCAGTCAGGCGCCCCTCTCAGTACTACTTTTTGAGAAGATGTATTTCTCTATCTACTGTCCATTTACTTTTAATTCCAATGATTCTCTATCCTGGTCTCTTGAGTTTTTAAGGTACACAGTCATATGATCAAAAAGGCAAAGAGATATTTCACCAATGTTGGTTTCTTCTTTTCTGATCCTCTTGAACACATTATAACATTGTCAGTAGGCATCCCTGTATGGTTCTTTATTTTAATTGAAATTATTTTAGTGTTTAACCATTAGGATAATACCTCCTGGTATTCCACTACTATTTTTAATTAAGATTCTTTTTTTAAAGGAACGGATGCTGAAATTTAATCAAATTCCTTTCAGCATCTGTTGATATGATCGTATTTTTCTCCTTAATTCGTTAATGTCATGAATTATGTTGATAGATTCTCTATTAAACAAACTTTGTGCTCCTGGAATAAACCTTTACTTACAGTGTTAATCTTCTTTTGATTCGTCAATGCATTCTGGTACTATTTTGAGAGCTTTGCATCTATGTAAGTTAATTTAGCTTCTGGGTTGTTACGGTCTTTATCAGGTTTTTCTATTAACGAAACCACAAAAACTTTACATAAATTAGAGATTTCGTTCTTTCCCTGTGGCACAGAATACTTTAAGTAGCATTGGACCAACTGATGGTCCTTGCTGTGTTTTCCTCAACAAGCTCTTGAGTTTTTCTTTTTACATTATTATTTTTTAATTTTTATTTTATTTTTTAAAAATTTAAAAAAGATTTTATTTATTTGAGATAGCAAGGGAGGGGAGGGAGAGAAGCAGACTCCCCGCTGAGCCAAGAGCCCCGTGCGGGACTTGATCTCAGGACCCTGAGATCATGACCTGAGCTGAAGGCAGACGCTTAACTGACTGAACCGGCCAGGCACCCTTCTTTCCTTTTTTTTTTTAAATTTATCTTTTTTCCCCCCCTAAACTCTTGCTTTTCGACTTACCCTCTCAACAAATTTGCTTTCTTTTTCAACAATTTCTTTTTTAGGTTCCTTTTCTCTTTCTCTCTTTTTTAAGAATAATGAAAGCATTTATGGCTATACATTTTCCTCAGAGTACAACTTTTGCTGGGTCTCACAGCTTTGGGAACCCCGTGTTCCTGAAATCAGGGAGGTTAAGTTGTTTAGGAGTCCAGATCTCAGTGGTACAGGGCTCAGGCTTTGAGCTTGAGGTCAGAGGCCATGTCTGCTACAGGCCCCTATGGCCTGGAACAGAGCCAGGCAGAGTAAAGCACCAGCGGATGCCCACGGATGACTGAATGAACACAAGGGGACGAAGCAAGCAGGTGGGACCAGAGAGTTAGGGACCCATTATAAGTCTGCAAACCCAGCCTCATTTCTGGCCCCCGTGATCTATCAGCTCACAAAGGTTTCGGCAGAGCCAGTTGGATCTGCTTTCTGAAGGAGCAGAGCAGAATCCAAAACAGCCAGGGACGGTCTAGGGAAACGGGAGTCAGGGGTGCTAGACGCTGGTCAGAAGGGAGCTTCAAGGTGAGCCATGCAGCAGAGCGAAGAGAGGGAATGAGTTTCGAGAGGTCTGGTTTGCCAAGGCCCCGGTGGGTGGGGAGAGATGAAGGAGAACCATCTCTGAGGGAGATGGTTCCAGGTCTCCTGGGGAGTGTCTGGCATTCCCTGGCGAGAAAGAGGAAGAAGGTGGTTTTGAGGCCAGGGAGGCTGGTGGCTGCACAGCCGTCTGGGATCCCACAGGCACTTGAAGCCTGGTTGATTAGGCTGAGAAGACAGTGGCCCCAGAAGCGTCTCTGGACCTTAGCACCCCTCCCTCTGCCTCCAGGGAGGAGGTGGGCCAAGCCATGTCCCTACTGTCTGGCCGTCCCTCCAAGCACTGGCTCAGCCAGCAGCGGGTGATGGGGAGAGCTCGCCCCCAGCCCCCCTCCCTGGGAGCCAGCAGCACCAAGGATGTGGATGGGCGGGGGTGCTGAGCTCCCCAACCTCAGCTCTCCTCCCTATCCCAAGAAGCCCTTTGAAAGGTTTTCCTGGCAGAGTTTAAAGCTTCAATTCATTGAATTGCCTGGAATGAGGCCCAGGATGAGGGGATGCCGGGAAGGCCCCAGCCCTACACCCCAGCCCTCACCTTAGCCGCCCCCACTTTCCTGGGACCCAGGCCGGCAGGCCTCCCCTGCTCCCTCTCTTCATCCGACGGCACCCACCACCTTTCCCCTCGGGGACCCAGGTACCCTGCCCCTTTCTTGCGGAGCAGATGGCCACCCCAGAGGCCCAGGCTTGCTAAATCAGACATTTAAATCCCATAATCCTTGGTGAGAGGCTGACGGAGGGGGTAGCAGCCCAATCCTAGAAGCAGGGGCAGGAGAGAACCTTGTGCCAGGCCTGGCAGGAGGGGAGGAGGGACAGTTGGTTCCCGAGTTATGAATGGAGTGCCCCCCCCTCCCTTGTTGTCATGCAGCCCGCAGACTGACCCAGTCTCCAGCTTTTGTTCTCCTCTGGGAGCCCCGGCCTTGGGCCCCCCAGCCCACACTCCCGGGAGACTCAGGTGGCTGCCTCCCAGGGTCACCGCCTCCCTCCCCGCTGTGGCACACGGGCCCCACGCAGCCTGCCCAGGTGCCCACCCCGCGGACACACAGGTGGTAGAAAAGTTTATTGTAAAATAAGAGACTGATATAAAAACAGGATATAAAAAGGGAAGAGAGGGAGGGGGTGTGGGTGCAGAGTGCAAAAGAAATCGATCCTGAGAGATTGGGGGAAGGAAAAAGACCTCAGCAGATACAGATTCCAGGGATGGAATCCTCCAGGCTGTGAGATGGGTATGAGATTTCCTCTTAGGTGCCGGGGCTCCCCAAGAGGTCAGACAGGATTTGGCCAGGCCAGCAGGAAAGGGACCCCTCAGCAGCTGCCCCCTCATACAAGCTGTTGCCCCACCCACCGGCACGGACAGGGAACCGGCAGCCTCGGAGACACCACGTCGCAGACATCATGGGGTAAAAGGGCTGTTTGGGGGGGGGGGGTCAGACATACATAATTTCATTCACCCTCACAACAAACTCCGTGAGGTAGGTATGGTTATCAGCATTTCATAAAAATGGCCTATGAAATTAGGAAATTTCAACCACTGGCTAAAACAGTAGAGAACTGGGCTCATAGCCCAGCGAGTGATTAGTTCTAAAACGCTCCCGACATTCAGGAACATTTTCCTACCTCTCCCATGGTTCCCCACAGTAAAAATC